CCACTGCCATGGCTGCCCAGGAGCTACGCTGGCTGACCTACCTGCTGACCGACTTGGGTGAGCGGCCTCGTTCTCCTCCAGTGCTGTACGTCGACAACCAGGCTGCCATTGCCTTTTGTGAGGAGCACAGACTGGAGCACAGAACGAAGCACATCGCCCTGCGGTACTTCCTTGCTCGAGAGCTGCAGCAGCGCGGTCAGCTTTGTCTGCGTTACGTGGCCACTGAGGCCAACCTTGCTGATGTGTTCACCAAGGCGCTTCCGCCTTGTGACCATCAGCGCTTCTGCACTCTGCTAGGCCTTGTGCCTACTGGACCTCACTTACTTACCTCTTGACCTTGCTTGTACTGTGATCACTATATATATATCTACCTGCATGTTTACTCTTGCTAGGTTGTGATCACTGTATCTCATGCTCTGTTATAAACCTGCATGTGAACTGGTCTTGTGACCACTAGCTTGTGCTCGGAATTTGTGTGGTATCCTTGAGATCCACCCTGAGCTTGTTGTTGCCTTGCTTTGCCTTGACTGGTCTTGTGACCCCTAGGTCTCCCCCACTTTGCCTATGGGGGTGTGTCAAACATTATATGTGTTGTGTTTGTGTAGGCTGTAGTGGGTTAGCCTATAGGGGGGTCACAACATTAGGGTTTCATATTTGTACTCACAATCCTTTCTAGTTCACCATTCCAGTCCGTTATCACTGACATATGGTTACCATACGCGTTAAGCGAGTTACCAAATGTGTTTAACAAGTTACCAAATGCGTTAGACTAGTTACCACACGCGTCGTAATCATTATCGTACGCGTTATAGTGCCCCATGTAAGTTACCATTGACATATTTTCCCCAACGTAAACGGCATGTTTTTCATCTCGGCGCAGATTTGAAGAAGTTTTCTCGCGTTGGTTCTTGACTTTGTCAGGATGCGTCAGCACGACGGACGATCGCGATTAAAGCTGCGGTCAACATACCTAAAGGCATTTTCCGGGGGCATTTATGGAGAGCACCCTATTACGGCCACTGATTTGACAGCGACCAATCCACTCAGTGAAACTAGAGTGTGAGGTGACTCCAACATGGTTTGCGAGCCCCGCCAGTTTCGTGCGGAGGGTTGTGTGGGAAAACAGCAACAGTAAGGGCGGAAGCCCGGCTGAGTCTGGGGGAAGAATGCGCTGAAGGGCGGAAGCAATACACACATTGTCAGGTGAATTATCAAGAGCGGGGTCCAGTGTTGTCTGCCAAAACGAGAAATCGCCCACGACACCAAAGCACGGAGAGAAGCTACGCAGAGAATAAGCGGCTAATCATAGCGACGCGACCTTCCTCACATACCGCAGCGACGACTAGGCTCAACCGTAGGGCATGGCTGCAGGCGCCAAAAATAAAACATAGAGGAACAACTTATCGTCGCAGGTGAATTCCACGACACTTAGAATATATGAAAACGGGGGATTACGCATCGCGCTACGCGGTTGAGTCGAACATGTCGTGGTGCCTTCATCCATGTTTAGGCGTTGCATCCGTCTAGCCCACCCTGCTGCATCTGCCTACTCGACAACTACTAGCGTTCAAAGAGCAACATTTGACTCTTAGTATGAACTGATGGTAAGCACAAGGCGTTCAATACAAAGGTCATCGCTCGGGACTCACGCCTCACGCGCCGCACCACGCGACACGCGTCGCTACACGCCTCACGCGCCTCTTCACGCCTAACGCGCCGCGAGCGCGTCAGTTGCGAAGCTTCAAGCCTCACCCGCCGCTTCACGCCTCACTCGCCGCTTCTGGCCTCACTCGATGCCCCTCGCTTCACGCGCCGCTGAAGGCCTCACCAGCCTCCCGCGGCGAACGCACCCGCTTCTCGCCTCACCCGCTTATCGCCTCCCCCTTCCCGCCTCACCCGCTTTCCCGCCTCACCCGCTTATCGCCTCACCCGCTTATCGCCTCACCAGCTTCTCGCCTCACCAGCTTCTCGCCTCACCCGCTTATCCCCTCACCCGCTTATCGCCTCACCCGCTTCCCTCCTCGCCCGCTTCTCGCCTCCTCGACGCCTCGCGTCCTGTCGCGAAGATACTCAGCTGCTCGCCTGCTCGACTCCCTTGCTCTGCTTCTCCCCTCGCCGACTGCACGCATCACACTCGCATAGCCTAACCCGCCCATCCCACCGGGCAACCGCATCCCTCTCCTCAGGGGCTTCCATGAAAGCGCCCGTAACCCCCCCGTGCTCTAACTCAACCCCTTTTCTCCATCCACCCCCGCTAGCCCTCATGTTTGACCTGTCAAACACATACTCTCAAGCATCCCACCGTGGGCCCACCTTCGTGCCCCCATTTCCCCACCCCTGATTCCCCTCAGATTCCCCACTCCATTCCTAGTTTCCCCCTCAGCTTAGGCCCAAGCCGAACTCATTCTACACCTCATAAATCCTTATGCTTCCGTTCATGTCCCACTCTGCTCCCCCCATTGCCCCCTCTGCCCCCCCATGCTTTACGCCCCTGCTCCCCCATTTCTCTCTCCACTCCCTCCCATGACCCGCTCCCTCCTCCCCTCATTTCCGCCTCTGCCACCTCTAATGTCCCCCTCTTCATCCCCTCGTTTTAGCATATCAGGTGCCTGCCTGAGCAACTCCCTCACCAAAGGAGCCACGCCCGCCAAGCCAACCACATCACGGTCGCCCATAGAATCGCCACACCTTAGCGAGGTGAGTCAGCCTTTATCCGGAGTCCCCTTCAGTGCTCTGAAACCCACTGCGGTACCCTCTCCGACTCTCCCTTTCCCCCATTGCCATCTCCTTACCCTGCTCTTCGCCTACTGCTCATCCCACCCTGCCCTGCCCATCCCCTGTTGCCCTTCCCTACATGCCCGGTCTTTTCCCCACTGCCCGTCCCTCACTGTCCAGCCTTCCCATGTTTCATCCATTATCTTAGCAATTCAGGATAAATTCCAAGTTCATTATCATGGCAAAGCGCGATGATTGATTGTGGTGTAGGGCTCTGCTTCCTGACGCTACGCAACCGGCAGGGCTCTGCTGCTTCCTGACGTCAGCACCTAGGTAGTAATATGGAGGTGAGGCAGGTGGAGCTTCTCTCAGGCGCGATGTGCTCTCACACATGTGCACGTGAGTTCTAGACAAGGCTGAGGCTGAGTGGAGCTGAACCACACCCGTCAGCGCTCACTCATTCAAGTCAGGTCTTGTTTTCTGGTCCCGGACTGATTGCTGCCTCCGCTCATGCTGCGACCTGCCCCCTCTTCCCATGCCACCCCATTCCAGGTGGTGGGCACAGTGAGTTATGCTGACATTTTGAGTCGGCTTATAAGTCCCCTTGGCCACTCTTCCCATGCCACCCCATTCCCAGGTCGTGGGAACAGTGGGCCATGCTGCACCTTGCAGAGCGACATGAACGAACGCATTTGCCTAACATCTCGATTTCCCCATTCCAATCCCTATAACACATGCATCTCGATTTGCCGCACCTCCCTTGGCGCCCATGCCGCACCTCCCTTGGCGCCCATGCCGCACCTCCCTTGGCGCCCATGCCGCACCTCCCTTCCCCCCTGACCGCACCTCCATTTCCCCCCATGCCTCACCTCCCTTTCCCCCTATGCCTCACCTCCCTTTCCCCCCATGCCTCACCTCCCTTTCCCCCCATGCCTCACCTCCCTTTCCCCCCATGCCGCACCTCCCTTTCCCTCAGGCCGCACATCCCTTTCCTCTGAGTCCGCACCTCCCCATGCCCCCACATCGCACTTCCCCTTCCCCAAGGGGCGGACTTCCCCTCCCCCCATGTCCTCCTCTCCAACATCTTTTCTTCCTCTCCCCCCCGTGTTCTCCTCCCACCCCCCTGTCCTCCTTTCTCCCCCCTCTAACCCTCTCTCTCCTGCTTCCCCCCATTTACCAGTGCGTGTGGCCGCTGCTCGCATCGCCTGTGTGCGCCCAACGCCCATACGCCCTTCTCTTCCCTATTTCCCCGCTGCTTTCTCTCTATTTCCCTGCTCCCCCCTTCCGCCACCTGCTTCTGCAGCCTCGTGACCACCACGGACCCGGCATCTGCACGTTTGACCAGGTGCGCGAGATGCGGCCATTAATGTGCCATCTCTCCGAACCCTTCCTCTCCGCCCTCCAGTTGTGGTGAGCGGGGGCGTTGTGATTGAGTCTGCATTACTCCCGTGGCAGCAGCGTAGGTGCGAGAGTGCGTAGGCGTAGCGGGTGGTGGGAGCAGGAAGGGAAGTGCATCTTGCACTCAAGGACTAATTCACGAACCCGTACATTCCTCCACATCCCTCCAATCCCCTTCATTCTGCCCATTTCTAGCACACCTGACTTGCACACCTCCCTCATCCACTCACACCCCTGTCCTCCTCTTCCTCCCTGTCATCCTCTCCTCCCCTTGTCAGATACTCCACGCTTATCATCCTCTTCCCCCCACACCTCCTCACCCCCTTGTTCTCCTCTTTCTTCTCCGTCATCCTCTCTCCCCCTGTCCTCCTTCCCCCCCCTGTCCCCCTCTCTCTCCCCTGTCCTCCAGTTTGCCACACTCATGCTCCATTCCGCTGGATACAGTGTTGCTATTGTGTCACAAGGTCTCCCCCCCACAACACGACCCCCCTTTTCCCGCCCCCCCTTTTCCCTTCCCACCGTTTCTCATCCCCTCGCTTCCCTTCCTCCCGTCTCCCTTCCCCCCGTTTCACATAAGGTATTACTTCCAGTCCCTCCTTTTTCGGGACCCCCCATTTCCCGTCCCCCCTAACCTCTCCCTCTCGTCTCCCTTACCCCCGTTTCCCTACCGCCCATTTCCCATCCTCTGTCTACTCTGTCCCCCATGTCCTCCTCCCTCACCCCTGTCCTCCTCTCCCCCCCTACTCTCCTCTCTCTACTGTGTTAGGCTCTCTCCCTTCTGTGCGTTATCCTCTCCTTCGCCCATGGTTGTATATGCCCCTTCACCACAGATAGTTGCAGGTGGAGGTTTGGCAAACCACGTAGGCGGCTACGTGTAGAGGACAAGAATGGCCCTACGTGCGAGGTAAGCGCCTATTTCTAATCCAGTATTTCGGGCATAACCCTGTTTCACTCATGCATAAACACCTCCCATAGTAGTGCATTTTAATGGCATCTGACTACTTAGCACACTGTAACCAGTCCCTGCCACCCAACCAACCGGGCAGACCCTTGTCAACCCCAAGGACAGTGCTCTGTTCCTCGCGGCAATGTCCCCATGCCCACGCACCCAGTATCATTGTATATCCCTTTTTCTTTTGCAGCTCCCATCACGAAGGCGACAATGCTGATACTACAAGCGAAGAAGTCGACCCAGTGCAGCAAATTGCGCGCAAATGTGAAACCAAGAGCCTAGGCGTATCACGGCACATGCAGCTGCCGATTGCCTTCATGCGAATCGGATTATCATGCCTCATCGGCGCTCCTGCTAGCCTGGCGGATCTTGTGTTTTTCTTACTTATGGCTGGGGAGGGAGCCATGGAGAAACTATTGACAGCTGCAACCAAAGCCGGTGCGTACCCAAATAAGCACTAACAAGTCGTCACGATGGAGATGTGAGGCTCACCCTGCTTTCACCTTCCCTTTATCATGCAGGAGCTGACGGGAAACTGGCCAGGGAGAGTGTGGACGTGCTGCTCGGTGAATACGACAAAAACATATCGATCGGAAGGGGAGTAAGGAGGGGGTGGAGTCCAGGGGCAGTCATGGACCGGGCGGCACAGTCCATACAAGAGCTGCAATATGGATTTGCGGCATATTCCCTAGATCCGAACGGTGTGTTGCTGCATAATGGGCGCGTTGTACAGTGGGGCGGAGCACGGAGAGGCATGAGGAGTGATCAAGGTGAGATTAAGCTTGTTACATGTCCACGTGATAGTTCACATGCGAGAGGAGTTGTGTCCTGTCAAACATGATAAGGTCCGACTTAGGAGCCACAGAGAGGACATCCCATTGCACCAATGTATCAATCATTTTTGTCGTGCCTAGGACCCTCTCTTTTTACCCTCCCACCGCTGCCCAGGAAAGCACCGCCCTGCCCCTTGGCGCTTACCTGCCCTTTCCCCCCACCCCCACTCCCATGAATACGGGCCTATCCCCTCTCCACCTCCGCCTCCCTGGAAAGCACCGCCCTGCCCATCACGCTTACCTGCCTACCCTCCGAGAAAAGCACCGCCATGGTCCCTTACGCTCTGTCTCTGTTTTCTCGACAGGCATTGAGGCCCACGCCTGCTGTGGCGAGCCTGACAACTTAGGGGGTGACCATCACGCGGTCGGTGGTGCTGACCCCCATAGCGGACATGTCAACCCCCAGAACCACGTCGATCCCGTTGAGACGGGTCCCCGGTACGTGTTGTTAGTCTATTTCATTCGGGTGCACGAGAGGTGAGCCGCCTGCATGTGGGGAATCTATGGTCATTGTAACGAAGTCTTTTATTACGGTCATGTGAATGGGCGCACTTACCCCCAAAACCCGTGCCAACTTCATGCCCATGGTTTGCAGTACGGAAGGGGGAGCGCACGTTGCGAGATGGCCTGGCGGGTGGGTTGCACCTTCAGTGGTTGATGGACTTAAGCGTGCAGTCTGTTTCATTGACCCCGTCCACGCCCTGCAATTCTTCATGGTTCTAACGCTGGCGTGCACCAGAGTGGGTGGGTGCAAGGGTCGTATGCGCCTTCAGTCTTGGAAATTGGATTGCGCGGGTCTTGGTTTGCATTGGGAATGCGGTGTATGCAAAACCACCAAGGCATGATGGAGCGTGGAGAAGAAGGCGGGTGGATCAAACCCATCGGTGGGCGGTCGTCCGCGCATACCCTTGCGGGAGAGATGCATGGCAGCATTTGCGTTAGCTGGGATGGGGTATCAGGTGATGTGGGAGGTTTGTCGAAACATTGGCGTGGCTATGCCTTGTAAGGCAACCTTTTACAAGTACATGAGCGGTCCGGGTGGTCTATGGGAGACGATTACAAAACATGCAGATTCGTGTATGGAGCGAGTTCGTGAGAGCATGAAAAAGCGCCCAATTCCTGGCCACTGGGTGTGTGTTGATGGCCGTTACGGACAACCGAGAGAGGCGGAGTGGGGCACTGTCACATTTTTGGATCCCACGACACGGAAAGTTATCCATTGCGTTACTGTTTCGCAGAGTGAGACGGGTAAGGCTGCGACGGAACTGGAAGGGGTGGCTTTCCGACAGGGGATGGAAGATTTGAGAGAATGGGGGTTTAAAGTGGAAGGGATTATTACAGACGAGGGGGGGTCTTTTAAGGGGGCTATTATTGACACGGGCATCCTCCACCAGATGGATGTATGGCACAAGGGTCGATCGCTGTCGAGGAAACTCATGAAAGATATGGTCGATCGTCGCGTTGAGGATTTGCACGTCGAAGAAGCTGTGACAGCAGCGGAGCTGTGGAAAGTAGCACCGAAGCATCTCAAGGCATGGTTACAAGCACAGAATGAGGGGAAGGGGGTAGGAGCACCTAAGAGGGCGAGTAAGAAGCGCCTAATAGAGCTAGTTTGTGAGAGGAGAAATATGAAGTTTCAAGATTATGTGCCGGGAGGCTCGCCGTGGTTGTATCCAGAGATGCGCCGTGTGCAGCACCTGCATATTCCGCGTAGCAGTGCTGATGGCGGGTGTGTTAGGGATGGGGAGGGATCATCAGCCGGGGAAGTGCCAGCAGCCGTGGAGGTTCCTGTTCAGGGAAGTGAGCGACAGCGGGCAGAACCAGAGCCATTGTCGGGTTTTGTTCCTATTGAGATCTTGGAGGATGGCATTGACGCAGGAGAGCTTGTGGAGCGTCCATTACAGGATGTTGAGTTCGACGATGTTAGAGAGCTTTGGGGTTATGATCCCCATCCGGAGCATGGGGTGCGTCCTTGCTCGGTGGTCTCCTTCATGATTTTGCAGGCATCTGGCCATGCATGCTTCGACGATCCGTCCCTCGATGGGTGGGCGGACATTCCCGCACCAAGCAACGACTCTCATGCAGGTCAGTTTTCCCATCACTCATGGAACCCCCGCCCCCTCATTGTCCGAGGTGGTTGTCCCATCTCTTTCGTTGAATCATGTATGCCTGCATGTCGATTGTCATTCTCTCCCTAGATCTTTGTCATTTTAGTCACCGATCAAGCGTTTCAGTCATGTGACAGCCCCACCCACACTCATGACAACCCCACCAACACACATTTCAGCCCCTCTGACACGCACTTCAACCCCACCGCCACTCATTTTCATCCACACTTACTTCTATTCCAACCATCCCCCACTCGTTTCAGCCATTCTAACACTCATGTCAAACCCTCCCACACTCATTATCAACCTCGATGGGTGCGCATTTTCTGCCCCTCTAGCAAGCACTTCAACACCTCCCACACACGCTTCAGCCCCCGAAACACTCATTTCAACACCTCCCACACTCATTCTCAGCCTCTCCCACACTCATTTGTGCCTCTCCAACTCGTTTTGCCGCCCTCCCGATCTCATTTCCACCCCTCACACCTGCCATGCTAGATCACCTCACAAAGCCCGTACCTCCCACACGTTCAATCCTTTTGGTGTTGTGGATTTTTGTTTAGCTCATATCCGTCCTCTCTTGTATCTGTCAAACTTATACACTATAGTCTGTGTAGGCTGTAGTGGGGTAGCTCATATGGGGTACAACATTCTAGGGTTTGGTACTTGTACTCCTCATGCTGCTCAATGCAATCATTCTCGTCCTAAGTTTTCACATGGTAACAGAGCAGGTTCCCTCGTGGGAACTGTTCCTAGGGCCCACCAACCTTTTTTTCCTGCCCGGAGCGCCCTCCGCCCCTGCCCGAGTCGCGCTCCCCTCTAGCTGCCCTTAGCGGCCCCGTCGCGCCGCGCGTCCTTACGGCCCCGTCGCGTCGCCCTAGCGGCCCCGGCGCCGCCTCCACTGGCCCCGTCGCCCTACCCTCGCGACCCCGCGGCCCCACCCTCGCGACCCCGGCGTCGCCCCTCGCGGCTTAGCCGCCCGCGACCCCACCGCCGCCCGTAGCGGCCCCGTCGCCCTTCGCGCCGCCCGCGACCTCGTCGCGGCAGCCGCCTGCGACCCCTTCGCCGCGGCCGCCCGCGACCCCGTCGCCGCAGCCGCCCGCGTCCCTGCCGCCGCGGCCGCCTGCGATCCCGTCGCCGCGGCCGCCCGCGACTCCGCCACAGCCGCCCGCGCCCCCGGTCGTCGCAGCCGCCCGCGACCCCGTCGCCCCACCCGTGCGACCCCACCGCCGCCCTTCGCGGCCCCGTCGCCACACCCTCGCGGCCCCACCGAGCAGCCGAGCCGCCGCGACGCCGACGCCGCCGAGCCGCCGCTGCCGCTGAGCTGCAGACGCTGCCGAGCCGCCGGTGCCGCCGAGCTGCCGAGCCGCCGAGCCGCCACTGCCGCCGTGCTGCCGAGCCGCCGAGACGCCGCTGCCGCCGAGCTGTCGAGCCGCTGAGCCGCCGAGCCGCCGTTCCTGCCGTCGTGGCCCTGTTCCCGCCGGCGCGCCTCGGTCCTTCTCGCCTGCCCGGTAAGAGCAGCGCCTCCGCCACTGCTCTGCCCTTGCCTGCTGCTCTCACTGCTCGTCTACTGCTGTCATGGCTTCCCCCAGTGTCCTCACCTTTGACGCTGAGGGTCGGGCCATTGACTTTGACGTCTGGGTAGATGACCTGCAGCTTTTCCTACTGAGCGACAGAGCAGACGGTCTCTCCCTCTTTGACCTCACTTCTGGTGCCTCTCCTGCCCCTGCTGCTGATGCTGACGCCACTGTTCGCTCACAGTGGGCCACGCGCGATGCTGCTGCTCGCCTTGCTGTGCGCCGCCACTTGCCGACCGCTGAGCGTGCGCACTTTAGCCAGTACAAGAGTGCTAAGACCTTGTACGACGCTGTTGTTACACGCTACTCTTCCCCTGCCACTGCTGCGCTTAGCCGCCTCATCCTACCGTACCTCTTCCCTGACCTCGCCGCTTTTCCCACTGTCGCTGACCTCATTACGCACCTTCGCACTAGTGACACTCGCTACCGCGCTGCGCTTCCTGCTGAGTTCTGCGCCAAGAACCCCCCCCCCATGTACATCACCCTCTACTACATAGTCACCCGGCTCCCTGACACCCTTCGCCCGGTCAGGGACCACTTCCTCTCTGTTTGCCCCACCACCCTCACCGTTGACCTCCTCGAGGAGCGCCTGCTCGCGGCAGAGAAGAGCATAGTCGCAGTAGGTGCCTCTCGTGGTGACCCTCGTACCCCTGTCTTTGAGGGGTGCTCCCCCTCTCCCCTCTTGCCCTCTGTTGCCTCTGCTGCTGCGGCCGACCTCGTTGGTCTTGAGTCGGTCGCTGCGGCGTCTGCCCCTAGCGGGAGACGCCGCCCTGGCAAGGGCAAGGGGGGCAAGGGTGCTGGAGGAGCTGGCGGGGGCGGTGGAGGCGGAGGTGGAGGTGGTGGAGGGGGTGGGGGTGGCGGTGGGGGTGGTGGCGGGGGTGGGGGCGTCGGTGGCGGGACTGGAGGTGGAGGTGGAGGCGGCGGTGGCGGTGGGAGCGGAGGTGGCGGAGGTGGCGGTAGTGGAGGAGGTAGCGGCGGAGGCGGCGGAGCTGGTCGGGGTGGCGCTGCGCAGAGGGGTGGCTCCGGTGGTGGTGCGCGCCAGCAGCAGCAGCAGCAGCGTACCCGTGAGACCCCTTCCCCCCAGCAGCTTCGTGAGTGGTACGTTGCTCGTCAGCGGGGCGGGGGTGCTGGCCCCTGTACCTACGTTCTCCGTACCGGCGACCGGGCGGGTGAGCAGTGTGGGGGCGCGCACCCCACCCAGCGCTGCTTCGGTCGTCTGACAGACGCGTGGCGCCACCAGTTCCCCGACGCTACTGAGATCCCTCGCTGGGGCGAGCTGTCTAGGGCGGGTGTTGCAATCTATGATCTTGATTTTGATGCTATTCTTGCTGCCATGTATGCTGTGACTATTAGTGATGAGGGTGACTGTTACCGGTGTTTCCCGCCTGACCCAGGCATAGAGGCTGCTGCGCTAGGTACTTGTGAGGCTGCTGCTCTAGGTGCCAGTGCGTCTGCTGCCCCAGGTGCCGGTGAGTCTGCGCTCTCAGGTGCTGCGTCGTCCCCGGACACCCACACCTTCACCCTTGACTCGGGTGCTTCCCGCTCCTTCTTTCGAGACTGCACCACTCTCACACCGCTCAGTCGGCCTGTTGCGGTCTCCCTGGCGGACCCCTCTGGGGGTCCTGTCCTTGCTCACTACTCCACTGTCCTACCGTGTCCAGCGGTCCCGTCTGGCTCCCTGTCGGGTCTCTACCTCCCCTCGTTCTCTACGAACTTGGTGGCGGGTGCTGACCTCCAGGATGCAGGAGTTGACCAGTTCACCCCTGCGCGTCAGCGGGTGACCCACTGCACTTGTGCGGACACGGGCCGCCACTTGGCCACGTTTGCTCGTCGGCCAGGGTCGAGCCTGTACACACTGACTACTGAGTCTTCTCCAGTCACTGAGTCTGCTCAGGTAGCCGCGTCGGGTCAGGTGTTTGCTGCGGCGTCCAGGTCTGGTCCTGAGTCTGCCCCCTGCTCGTGTCGTCTCCTGTCCCACCGGACTATACTCTGGCACCACCGTCTTGGTCACCCCTCCCTGCCTCGCCTTCGAGGCATGGCTTCCCGTCTTCTTGTTTCTGGTCTCCCCCGGTCCCTCCCTCCCCTTCCTCCGGGGCCTGCCCCCACCTGCGTTCCCTGCGTCGAGGGGCGGCAGCGCGCTGCTCCTCACTCCTCCGAGTTTCCTCCGACAGAGGCTCCGCTGCAGACGCTTCACATGGACGTGTGGGGCCCAGCCCGCGTCCGTGGGCAGGGTCAGGAGCGCTACTTCCTGCTGGTGGTTGACGACTACTCGCGTTACACCGCAGTCTTCCCCTTGCGCAGCAAGGGTGACGTCACTGAGGTGTTGATCGCCTGGATCCGCGCGGCTCGTCTCCAGCTCCAGGAGAGTTTCGGCTCCGACTTTCCTGTTCGGCGTCTGCACTCCGACAGAGGCGGAGAGTTCTCCTCTGACCTTCTGCGGACCTTCTGTCGCGCACGAGGCATCCGCCAGACCTTCACGCTTCCGGACTCTCCGCAGCAGAATGGGATTGCTGAGCGCCGCATCGGCATGGTCATGGACGTCGCTCGTACGTCCATGATCCATGCGGCTGCTCCCCATTTTCTGTGGCCGTTTGCGGTTCGGTACGCGGCGCATCAGCTCAACCTTCACCCCCGGGTCTCCATGCCGGAGACCTCCCCTGCTTTACTGTGGACGGGGAAGGTTGGTGATGCGTCGCGTTTCCGGGTCTGGGGATCCAGGGCGTTTGTCCGCGACTTGTCTGCGGACAAGCTGTCCTCTCGTGCTGTTCCCTGCGTCTTCCTTGGCTTTCCCCCTGACGCGCCAGGCTGGCAGTTCTACCACCCCACCTCGCGCCGTGTCTTCGCGTCCCAGGACGTCACCTTTGACGAGTCGGTTCCCTACTACCGTCTCTTCCCCTACCGCACTGCGTCCCTCCCTCCCCCGCCGCTCTTCCTTACGCCAGGTCCCCCTCTGGTAGACCCCCTCCCCCCTCAGGGTCCTGCTCCCTCAGGTGTGTCCCAGGTAGATGCAGTTGAGCCAGTCGAGGTAGCTGTTGACTCTGGTGCTGCTGGTGGTGCTGAGCCTGGGGGTGCTGGGTCTGGGGGTGCTGCGACTGGGGGTGCTGAGCCTGGGGGTGCTGGGCCTGGGGGTGCTGAGCCTGGGGGTGCTGCGCCTGGGGGTGCTGCGCCTGGGGGTGCTGAGCCTGGGGGTGCTGAGTCTCGGAGTGCGGAGCCTGAGGGTGCTGGACCTGCTCGTCTGGCGTCTGGTGGTGCTGAGCCTGACAGTTCTTCGGGTGCTTCGTCCCGGCGGGAGCTGCTCTCTCCACAGGAGCTGCGTGAGTGGTTCGCCCGGCGCTGGCGACGTGCTGCTGGAGCTGGTGGTGCTGCGGACGCTGGAGGTTCTCCTACTGCTGAGGGTGCTGGTGCCGAGGGTCCCAGAGGTGCTCGTACCGAGTGTACTGGAGCTGCTGGGCCTACGGGTGCTCCTCCTGCTGGAGCTGGTGGTGCTGCTGGTGCTGCTGGCGTTGGTGCTGCTGGTGCTCCTGGAGCTGGAGCTGCTGGTGCTGCTGGTGCTGCTGACGTTGGTGCTGCTGGTACTCCTGGAGCTGGAGCTGCTGCGTCTTCGGGTGGTCCGACTGGAGCTGGAGCTACTGGGGGTGTTGGCGCTGGGGGTGCTCCTGGCGCTGGTGCTGCTGAGGGTGCTGGAGTTGGAGCTGCTGGAGCTGGGGGTCCTCCTGGTGCTGGTGCTCCCGTTGGGGGTGCTGGTGCTGTTCCTGCTGGCACTGGTGGAGCTGCGCGGCCGCGGCCGTACTTCGTTCCGCTCCTTGAGCAGGTTCTTGGTCTTCCGTCCTCTCTTGGTCCTGCTCCTCCCTTAGCGTGTCCGCCTCCTGTCCAGTCTGAGTCACAGTTACAGCCACCTTCCCCGCTTCCTTCTCCTTCTCCCTACACTGGTCCTACTGGAGGTCTTGCTGAGCGTCGTGAGCCTGCGTCTCGCCCTGCGTCGCCTGTCCGTGCTGCTCGCACTAGTGGTCGTGGTTCGCGCCAGCGTCCTCCCCCTGTCCCCGGCACGCACCGGATGTCTCTGCGTCCTTCCACTGCTCCGCTGCGTGCCCCTTTGCCCTCTCCTCCAGCGTCCTCTCTTCCTGAGCTTCCTGACCCTGAGTCGGACTCCCTTCGTGCTGCGCGTCCTACTGTCACGCGTCTCCTTGCTACTGTCGTCACTGACCCTTCCTTTGAGTCTACTGCTGCGTCTGCCCTAGTTGCTGAGCTTGTCGACTTCGCTGCTCGCTGTCGCCTAGACTACGCTACCAGTCTCGTCGCTGAGTCTGAGTCTGTCTGTCCTCCGTCCGTCGGGGGTGAGTGTGCTCTTGGCACGGACGTCCTTGAGGACAGGCAGGAGGAGTTCCAATGCTTGGCGGCTGCTTCACCTCATCTCGTGTCCATGCTGCTTGCCCCTGAGGGAGACCCGGATGCACTTGACATCCCGACTCCGCGCTCTTACGCGGAGGCGATAGAGGGTCCCTACTCCTCTCAGTGGCAGGCAGCCATGGACGCAGAGATGGCTTCGTGGAAGTCCACAGGCACCTACGTCGACGAGGTTCCCCCGCCTGGGGCGAACATCGTCAGTGGCATGTGGATTTTCAGGGTGAAGCGGCCGCCGGGTTCTCCGCCTGTCTTCAAGGCGCGTTACGTGGCTCGTGGCTTCAGTCAGCGGCAGGGAGTTGACTACTTTCAGACCTTCTCTCCCACCCCGAAGATGACCACTCTTCGGGTACTGCTGCACATAGCTGCTCACCGAGACTACGAGCTGCACTCTCTTGACTTCAGCACTGCTTTCTTGCAGGGCAGCCTGCACGAGGAGATCTGGCTGCGCCGCCCACCTGGCTTCACTGGGACGTTTCCTCCTGGCACCCAGTGGAGCCTCCGGCGGCCAGTCTACGGTCTCCGCCAGGCGCCTCGTGAGTGGCACGACACACTGAGGACTACACTTGCGGCCCTTGGGTTTGCTCCTTCTACTGCCGACCCGTCGCTATTTCTGCGCACCGACACTTCTTTGCCGCCGTTCTACATCCTCGTGTACGTCGACGACTTGGTCTTTGCTACAGCTGACACTGCTGGACTTGCCTACGTGAAGTCCGAGCTGCAGAAGAGACACACTTGCACAGACCTGGGTGAACTGCGCAGCTACCTTGGCTTGCAGATCACCCGGGACAGAGCACAGCGCACCATTACCCTGACTCAGTCACACATGGTGCAGCAGGTCCTTCAGCGCTTCGGCTTCACGTACTCCTCGCCTCAAGCCACTCCTCTGCCTACACGCCACTCGCTCTCAGCTCTGCCTTCGGATGAGTCCGTAGAGTCGAGTGGCCCGTACCCAGAGCTTGTCGGCTGCCTCATGTACCTGATGACCTGCACTCGACCTGACCTTGCATACCCTCTTAGCATTCTGGCACGCTTTGTTGCTCCTGGGAGACACAGACCAGAGCACATGGCTGCAGCGAAGAGGGTGTTGCGCTACTTGTGCAGTACGTCGGGCATGGGGCTTGTGCTTGGAGGGCATAGTTCAGTGGTCCTCACTGGTCACGCAGACGCTTCTTGGGCTGACGACCAGGCTACGCAGCGGTCGTCACAGGGTTACACCTTCAGCCTTGGTTCTGGCTCTGTTTCTTGGCGGTCTACCCGCTCGTCTTCTGTTCTCGGCTCCAGTTGTGAGGCTGAGATCTACGCAGGGGCCATGGCTGCACAGGAGCTACGCTGGCTCACCTACCTGCTGACTGACCTGGGAGAGCCGCCTCGTTCTCCTCCAGTGCTGTACGTAGACAACAAGGCCATGCTGGCCTTGTGTCATGAGCACAGACTGGAGCACAGAACAAAGCACATCGCTCTCCGCTACTTCCTTGCTCGTGAGCTGCAGCAGCGTGGTCAGTTGCGCCTTGCTTACGTGGCCTCTGAGGCCAACACTGCTGATATCTTCACTAAGGCACTCGCGCCTTGTGATCATCAGCGCTTCTGCACTCTGTTAGGTCTTGTGCCTACCTTGCCTCACTTGCTTACTTCTTGACCTTGCTTGTACTGTTACATATATATACCTGCCCTTGCCTGTTTAGCGTTATATATATGTGACCTTGCATGTGAACTGGCCTTGTGGCCTTGAACTTGTGCTCAGACTGTGTGGTGACGTTGTGATCCACCCTGAGCTTGCTTTGCCTTGCTTTGCTTGACTGGTCTTGTGACCCCTTGTTCTCCCCCACTTTGCCTATGGGGGTGTGTCAAACTTATACACTATAGTCTGTGTAGGCTGTAGTGGGGTAGCTCATATGGGGTACAACATTCTAGGGTTTGGTACTTGTACTCCTCATGCTGCTCAATGCAATCATTCTCGTCCTAAGTTTTCACAGTATCCCCATACGTCCAGTCCCTGTCCGCAGCACCACGACGCACAAGCGACACTGGGTGGACCGGGTGGGGAAAAAGGATAGCAACGCGGCGGATGATGAGTCCAACGATGGCGTGGTGCACGAAGTGACTGTCGCTCAAAGGTTTAGCATTCATTTTCACCACATCATGGTGAGGTGCGCTGCACTCGCGAAGGCGGGAACCCCAATGAAGCCAGAAGAAGTTGCTCACGAGATTGGATGTGCTGCAGATCATTGGGCAGGTGATCATTCACGTTGCTCGCGGGGGGGAGTGATCTCTAGGTGTGTGGCAGACAGGTGGGGTCCGGAGAGTGCGTTGTACGAGCGTGGGTCCGCAACACACATTGCTTTCAAGAAGTGGCTGGCGGACAACTGCGGTCCGACTCAAATGGCTCCGTACGTTCTTGGTGCTAGCAATTGGATGAATGAGTCATTCCATTCGCTCATTTGTAAGTACGCACCAAAGCGTATTCGTTTTCAAGGGAGCATGAGAGCCAGGGTTGCTTTGTCTGTACTACACTGGAACCGCTCCCTTGATCGCGAAGTCCGAGCAACAAAGATGAGGATTCAGCGTGCCACTCGGGTGCGACGGGGAAGACGCTATCGGATCCTTGGGCCAATGATCTGGGACTGGGTCGATGACATCATGCGAGATTGGGGATGCGTGGAGGGTGGGGAGGACGAGCAAACAAGTGTTGTGCAAGATGCTTCGTCACAGCCCCCACACGCCCCCGATACACCGGTCGTGCTTCGGAGAACCCAAGCCACTGCGGTCGGCGACGATACACCCACTCCCGATTCGACACCACGGAAGCGACGCCGTACAGGCGAAACGTCCCGGCCGCTCGCGCAGCATGCCATATTCGGTAAGTTCAGCCGCTCTAACCCCATAGATCCGGTTTATTCCTGATTCTGAATTTATTTTTTTGCCTAGTTTAGGCACCTTCACCTCCCCCACCATTCTCACTACCATCGTAAATAACTGTCTAGTGATCTTGTTTCCAATGCTCCCACTCGCACGCGACGTGACCAACGTTTTGTAATAGAGTCTAGCCCAACATGCTGGCAAGTTAGCATTGAGACAAAGGTGTGGGTTGGACGTTGTGTGTGTGGAGTGCATGCACTGCACCTTATTGTGATTCCTGCATTGCCTCCTTTTCCACTGGTCAGGTGGAAACACCCTCACGATCACACCCTTTCTCTCTGTTTCCCTGCCAACCTCCGTTGTAGTTGCTGTATAGCCATGTTTCTCTCTCTGGTGCCATTTCCATCTACATCGAGCCCTGGCTTTCAGGCGTGTTTGACTTTCCTGACCTGAGGCAAAACCACTGCAAGGAGGAGAACGCAGCGAAATACCTTTTTTACGGGCTGCAAATCCCTGATCTCTTCATGCAGCGCGTGCAGGTGAGTGGGTATCCGAACCTATCTGAACCTGTCTTTAGGGACTTGAAGCAGGCTCATGTGCAAAGGCTTGAGCATAGGGCCTGGTACCTATTCTGGTCGCTCGTTTGACCCAGTGAGGCTCATAGCCTGGCCTTGGATGCTGCCTCTCACAACTTCTCACCCAACCCTTTTTTCCCCTCCGCCCCACCCCTAATCAAACATGCCGCGGTTCTCTTCTGCCCCAACGAGGGTTTAGGCCTGGCGGACTGCTGGCAATGCCTTTTACACCCCCAACATACAGCCCAATGTCAAACATATATGCTGCATATTGTCTAGGCTGTAGTGGGGTAGCCCATATGGGGTACAACCCAATTAGGGTTTCCTACTTGTACTCCTGCATGCTGTTAGTTCATTCATTCCTGCTGCTAGATTCTAACACCCAACACCACTCTCCATTCTCCCCTTACCCCCCTCATCCGCAGTCCAACATACCGCAGTCTCTATTCTGCCCCAACGAGGCCCCTGCCTTTTACACCCCCTGCATACAACCCAACACCACTCTCCTTTCTCCCCTTACCCCTCTCATCCGCAGTCCAACATGACATGGTCACTCTGCTGCCCCAACGAGGCCCCTGACCTGGCAGACTGTTGGCAATGCCTTTTACACCCCCTACATACAACCCAACACCACCCTCCATTCTCCCCTTACCCCTCTCATCCGCAGTCCAACATGACATGGTCACTCTTCTGCCCCAACGAGGCCCCTGGCCTGGCGGACTGCTGGGGGGAGGAGTTTGAGGCGTTTTACCCTAGATACGAGAGGGAGGTGAGCGCATGGGGGGTAGGGGTGTGATTGCAGCAGAAACAGAAATGAGTGGTTGGAGCTTCGCTGGCCTGGCGGATTGCTGGGGGCGGAGTTTTAGGCGCTGTACCTCAGATACGGTACGAGCGGGAGGTGAGTTCGTGTTTGGTTGGTTCTTACCAAAGTGTGTGTGTTAGGGTACATTCCTGTGTGGACATTTGTGTCTCAATCCTATTGTGACGCGTAAAAACAGCATAAAACGTATTATGTCACAAACGGAATCGCCTTTTAGCGACCATTACTGTATTTTTCATTGGTTAGCGTGAAACGCGCTAACATCGCGGACGAGTTGCAAATCGACCCGTCAATGGAAAAATGTCGCACGCGGTTCGAAATGTCAATGCACCTAAACAACCCCCAATGCCAATTTCGTGCGGGAAAAAAACCCGCGCGTCGAAACCACACCCCAGCCAGGCGTTTGAAGAAACGGGTGTACAGTCAATTCCGAAACCCAATCAAAAGCGCACAACTGTACATTTCGCCTGGTCGCCTAGTGTCGCAATACATTCCTTTTTTGTGACGCGAGGTTGACAAAATGTTACGACGCGACTCGGAAAAAGGGGGATTGAGACATTTGTGTCCACACAGGAATGTACCCTTAGTATACTGAAGATTCTTTAGTCAACTCTTAAGTCAGCTTGTGTTGGAACCAGAATTGCGGACCTGTCTGTTTTTTCACAGGGCCTCGCCAAGCGGGTGATACCGTCGCAGAAGCTCTTGTTTGCAATTCGTGAGGCGCAGATCTGTGCCCGCCCCTTTCCCCCCTGGGCAGTCTTTCGCTGCCTCAGGGCTGAGCCAAGCGGGTGATACCGTCGCAGAAGCTCTGGTTTGCCATCGAGACGGGCTTTCCCTACACGCTATTCAAAGTGAGAGATGTTGTGGTGTGCGTACGGGGTATGATGGCGGGCTTTACTGTGCTGTGCAATGTGAGAGGATTCGGACACCATCTGTGAGGCACAGATTGAGATAGACAACCCATACATGCTGTTCCCTGGTGTGTGCGCTGCTGCTGTGGTGGGGTGGCCTGCTCTGTAGTACATGTTACAAACTCTCTTCCCTTACTGATTTCAACTCTCGCCCCGTTGAGCATTACCGGAATTACTGCCCGAATGATTGTCGTTCATCCCCTGCCTCTCCCCACGCAGGACGCATGCAATCGCAAGTCGAACCAGCAGAATCCGGGCACCATCAAGCACAGCGCGCCATAGTTGGGGCAGCACCGTTACACATAACTGACATGTCCACATTTCAAATGAGTTATATGCATTTATCAAGGAGACCATTACAAGTGCCTGCCCACACATTACCAAGGTCATTACTGGATGTATAAAACCTCAACTTGATTGAGTATTTTGTCATATCCTTGTTATATGATACAGCAAGGACCCACACCATTCCATCCTAAATCTAACTAACTTGTCCGCTTAATTGCTTCATGCATCACGAGAGAACAGGGAGGGAAGAGAGGACAGGGAGGGAAGAGAGGACAGGGAGGGAAACAATGGGTAAGCTGGGGGGAATTTAAGAGAGAGCAGGGGGAAAAGAATGAGTGAACAGGGGGGAAACAATGGGTAAGCAGGGGAAGATTGAGCAGGGGGAAACAATGGGTATGCAGGGGGAAAAGAAAGAGTGAGCAGGGGGTAAGCAGAGGGGAAAGAAAGAGTGAGCAGGGGGAAACAATGGGTATATTGGGGGAAAAGAAAGAGCGAGCAGGGGGGACACAATGGGTAAGCAGGAGATAGTGCGGGGAACTCGCATTGTTTTTGGGTGGGAGGTGCGATTTGAGAGTGGAAAAATTGGACACTGGAGAATGTCTACCCCCCCCTCCCCCTCCTCCTCCTCCCCGCTCCCCTCCCCCCTTTCGCCCCCTTCTCGCTGCTTATTCGCTCTCCTCCCCTCCCCCCACCCCAGCCTTCTCGCTCCTCATCCCCTCTCCCCAAGGCGCTACGCTTCTGTCTACCACCCCCGCTTTCCTCGATGCTGGTGGTTATTGGCAATGGCAGGGATGGGAGTAGTGGAACAGAGAGACGGCAAAGGGAAAGGGGAAAGGTGTATAGGACGGGGGGAGGCAGGGCGTTGGAAAAGGCGAAAGCCGCCAGTAGGGAATGAGGAAACCAGCGCGTACGGAATGAGAAAAGCTGCGCGAGGGGAAGCAGGGAAGCAGCTGCTCGAGGGAGCAGGGAAGCAGCGCGAGGGGAAGCAGGGCCAGCGCGGGGGGAAGCAGGGAAGCAGCGCGAGGGGAAGCAGGGAAGCAGCGCGGGGGGAAGCAGAGAAGCAGCGCGAGGGGAAGCAGGGAAGCAGCGCGAGGGGAAGCGGGGATGCAGGGCGATGGGAAGCGGGGATGCAGCGCGATGGGAAGCGGGGACGCAGCGCGATGGGAAGCGGGGATGCAGCGCGAGGGGAAGCGGGGATGCAGCGCGATGGGAAGCGGGGATGCAGCGCGATGGGAAGCGGGGATGCAGCGCGATGGGAAGCGGGGAAGCAGCGCGAGGGGAAGCGGGGATGCAGCGCGAGCGGAGGAAGGGTAGAACGAGGGAAGGGAAGTGGGAGGGAACGAAGCAAAACAGAAGCAGGGGAAACGGCTACCATTGGGCTAAACCGCACGCGTGGCGACGCTGAAAGCGAGGAGCGGAGAAATGGGAGTAGAATGCGCTGAGCTCGAAAAGGGGAGCAGGATCGCACGGGAAAAAAAGTTGGACAGTGGAAAGCGCCGCGATGGTTGCAACGAGCGACGCGCTGGTTGCGACAAGCAACGCCACTGCCAGCGGACACCGTCACTCGCCAACCTTGCATGCTCACTCCCCCCTCTAAATCACGCCTATCCCGATTCTAACTCCCGTCCTCGACGTGCGCAATATGTTGCTGCTCACGGCCTACTGGGCTGATTGTCACCCATCCCGAAGCGTCGCAAGCGTAGACTGTGCGGTAGTGAAGTAAAGTATGCGGCGCAGAAATGCCTGTGAGAGAAATTGCGTGCGGAAGTGCTAGAACGCCGGTGCGCTGTGAGAGTGCCTTCCTGGGCAGCGGTGGGAGAGGGGAAACGTGCCGACGCCTAATCCCAATTTTCACGAAGTCAATCCGCAATCCCGTTTCTACGCCATGCACCACCTCGCGGCATGGAACCTTGACGTACTTCTTGCGAGTGGCTTGTCGCGCTATGTTATCACGCTTCTCGAAATGAGCTGTTCTCACTGCTCAATACTAATGATCCTCGAGTAAAACATGCCATCTAGCAGCATGGTGAACGTTGAACTCGTCGCATCAGTCGTTTACGAAAAGCTACGCACGGGGACCGAATGACAGGCGGTAATCGCTGATCTAAGGCGACGAGGCGAACAGATCTTAGGCGAGGAGGTGAAGCACTATTAGGCGAGGCGGTGCTCTGATGTCGCGAGACGAGTACAGGGCAAAACGCGACGGTGTGTTCTGAGCTGGTAATCCGCGGCCGACGCGCCCTAAATCACTATTGCGATCGAGGTGAAGGTAGGCTAAGCAGGTTTCATTTCGTGGCGACTACAATCTCCAGGAACACTAGGGGTCTGTTGACTGAGCAAGCAGGCAACGACTGTTGGCAGAGTTTTGGTCTACAAACCATCACGCGGGTCAAGTTCTAATCTGGCGAACTTGTTTCGGCTGTTAGGGCGCGTCCCCTCCCTCGATCGATCCAGCCCTCAATCGATCGAGGGACAGCTACAGTGTCACAATTGACAAGGTAACCTGATTTCGAGAGAGCTTGCGAAACTACAGTAACTGGTGCCTAACGATCTTGTCACCTCTGCTGATGACGATCGATGTGCCCTCGTGGCCACACTGATCTCATCTTTAGTAGGATCGATGGTTTTTTGCCCCTAGAATTCTCGATCCTGTCACCCTGGGCTCGAGAACGATCCGCTGTTGTCACCTCCTACCAATCCCGCCCCAATCCTGCGATCGGTGTGCCCGATCGGTTTTTCACAGCGATCGCGCGATCGATCGAGGGAGGGGACGCGCCCTTAGTTTGCTCATCCCCACCCCCCTCCCCGCTTCCGCCTCGACTTTCGTTTTTCCGCAAAACGGTACTTTTGTGGACAGTGTTACCCTGTTTCCAAGTGATAAACCTTTGCCTCCCGCTTGAGGTATGTAGACCACAGCTTTAAAGCGGCGGTATACATTTGGCAGAACTGTTTGGGTGTGTACAGTGCACAGACCTTTTTCGCCTGAACGAATAAAAAACAGAGTGGCGAATGTGTTCGCGAAAGTCCGACTCGAAGGGTCTGTGAGAAGCAGGGGTGGGGAAGTTGAGAGCACAAAACCCAACGGTATCACTTCTGCTCTCGCAACACAACGCTTCCTCTCACTTCAAAGAATAATCGCTCGCCAATGGATAGTTAGAACAAGCCGGCAGTTGACCTAGAAAGTTCGAGGCCACCAGCGCGCGACAGAATTGCACCATCAGCAGAGCATAGCAGCGCGACACGTGCAGGCATAGGCGGGCGCCAGCACATCGAGCGCCAGGTACGCTCGCGCGGAAGCAAAGGGTCTAATTGCAGGCACGCCCGCGCCAGGGAAACGTTCGCCAGATGCGTGCGCCCCGCCAGCCTGCCTACTGCATCTATGCTGTCGTTTCGCCAGCGTCACTTCCGACGCATATTTAGGCATTCCGCGCGCTCCAGCACAGCGCGCGGATACCAATCCTCGTGCAATAAATGCGCCTATAAAACGCCCGCTGCAACGCGAAGCGCGGCTGCATAGCGAGCGCGTGTGACGCTTGCGGTGCAGCAAACATCACGCTGTCCCATGCGCGCGCGCGGATGCGAAGTGCCATTCAGAACCGCGCGTCCCGCTAGCCAGCTTACTGCAGCCGCCAGCAACGCTAGCAGCCGCCAGCGCGCTTCTGAGCTTTCCGCCGCCCACATCCGCCAACATCCGCGTTCCCCCGTCCGCATTTCCCCGTCCGCATTCCCTCCGCGCGCACTCGCTCCCAAGCGCGCATTCGCTCCGCTCATACTCGCTCCTGCACCGCGCATTCGCTCCCCCCGCGCGCACTCGCTCCCCCCGCACGCACTCGCTCCCCCCGCACGCACTCGCTCCCCCAGCGCGCATTCGCTGCCCCCGCGCGCACTCGATCCCCCCGCGCTCACTCGCTCCCTTCGCTCGAACTCGCTCCCCCACCGCGCGCTCGCTCCCCCCGCGCGCACTCGCTCCATTTGCTCCCCCCGCGCGCACTCGCTCCATTCGCTCCCCCCGCGCTCACTCGCTCCCCCCGCGCGCATTCACTAGCCCCGCATGCACTCCCTTTTCCGCCGGCATGCACGCACCCCCCTGCATCCCCTCCTTTCCCTCCCCGTTTCCCCTCCTTTCCCTCCCTGTTTCCCCTCCTTTCCCTCCCTGTTTCCCCTCCTTTCCCTCCCTGTTTCCCCTCCTTTCCCTCCCTGTTTCCCCTCCTTTCCCTCCCGGCATCCCCTCCTTTCTCCCCCTGCACTGCATCTCCTCCTTTCCCCCCCTGAATCCCCTCCTTTTCCTCCCCGTTTCCCCCCCTTACCTTCATTCCCCCACTCTGCTTGCCCCTTTTCCTCTCCATCCCCTCTCGTTCCTTCACTCTCCTCCCACGTCCCGTCCCTCTCTTTCCCCGTCAAATCTCCTCCCTGCCATCTTCTCTCTCGTCCAATCTTCTTCTAGCCCCTTGTTTTCCCCCTTGCTAGCCCCCTGTTCCCTACCCCGACCAATCTCCTCGCTTGCCGCTACTCCCTCGTCCGCACTTCCCCTCTTCCTCTCTGTCCCGCCTTTCCTCCCTGCTTCCCATCATTTTTTCGTTTTTTCTTCCCCTCTTTTTCCACCATCCTTCCCCTAATTTTCCCCCCGTCTCTTCATTAGGGTCCCCCCTTGCTTACCATTTCGTTACCCCCGTGCTAGCCTTCCTCCCCCATGCTCACTCTTCCTTCCCCTCCAGCTTACACTCTGTTTCTCCCATCCTTTCTGGTTTTTTTCCCCCCTGGTACCCTATCGTCAACCGTCAACCCTCCTCTCCCACCATTAGCCCACAACTTAACTTGTCCTTCTGCCCAACATACAATCCTGCTGTCCCCTTCTTCGTCTCTCCCCTTCCTTGCCCCCACCGTGCCATTCTGCCCACTACTGCAGGTGAAGCACGTGTTTGACACCATAGCGCTGGCTGTCGGCCTTGCAATTGGCTCTCATCAACGGTCAATCATAGCTCGCTGAAGAGGCAACCCACCTCGTGCCGCACCCTGCCGCCCGTTATGACCCTTGGGCCTCCTCAGTCACTCGAGATACAGACAGGGACACGGCTACAGCAGTGGCCCAATTCACCTCGCTCACCCTCGCCGCTGCCGCTGCCGCCCCTTCCGCCACCACTGCTGCCACGTCAGCAGTTGCCGGCATGCAGGCTGACATGGCAGTGAGCATGCCGGCTATTTGTTCCTAGTGTCGTAATCCCGCGTTCTTGCTCCTCACACTTGCTCTCATCTTTTCACACGCAACCCTGCCTTCCCATCTTCCATCCCTTCCTTCCCATCACCGCTCTCCCTGCCTTCCTCACTCGCTCTCCCTGTGCTCGCATCTCCTCTCCCTGCTTCGCGCCTCCCCTCCCGTGTCGTGTCCTGGTGGCCAGCACCACTGCGCTGTTGCGAGTGTGTGTGAAGCAGTGCGTTACATCCCGACGAGTTCGTGGCCTAGTCGGGGTTGCCGCCTGCGTTATTACACGAAGCCAGTCCGCCCAATTCATCCTCTTCTTTCCTGCTTTTCCCTTCATTGACCTTCCTTCCTTTCCCACCCTTCTGCCCTTCCCTTCCCTGCTCCACCCTTCCCTTTCCATCCCTTCTCCCTTCCCGTCCCTTGCATGCCCACCCCTCCCACATCACTCGCCACCGTCTACCCTCAAGTTCTTGTGCATGAAGTGCCATTACTTTCTTGAATTCCTTTGTTGCTTCTCCCCTTCTGCCTCACAGCACCTTCCCATTGGGCCTTACACAATCGTTTTTGCCTACTCTGCTAATTGGCTGTGTTGATACAGAGGGCAGCAATTACAAGCAGAGGCGTAGCTAGTGGATGGTTGCCCCCACTTTTGTATTGTCTCGTGTGCGTTGTAATGCAAGTATGGTAGTGAGTTAATCTTAGAGACATGCGTCATGAAGCCTACTATGTACTACCACGATTCAGCAGTGCAATATCCTTCCAAGATGCACTAACAGGTGTCACATCCCATACGGGTAGAAAGAAGCATGTCCTCACATAACTTTATACTGTAGGCAAAGGCCAAGAGGAGCAATGCCGTTCTATTGACCCTTTCTCTATGCCTTTGGCAACAAATATTAGCTGCTTTGACATGAGATGATTGGCTGAGGCGTGTTGAAGCTTGAAATCTTCAGAGCAGTCAGTCACTGAAATAGTAAGGGGAGGGGAAAGAATCCTGATAAGAAAACGGTAATGATTCAACCACAAGCTGTGACGAGGGGAATCATTGAGAAAACGAGGGGAATCAAGGGGGGAGGAAATGAGGAGAATCAGGTCGAGGGGGGGGGGGGGGGGGGAATGAGGGGAATCAGGGGGGGGGGGGGGGTGGGGTGGGAGGGGGGAGGCGATGAGTGGAATCAGGTCGGGGGGGGTGGGGGGAATGAGGGGGAGAAGTGAGGAGAAGGGAATCAGGCTTTGGAAGGCATGTGAGGAGAAGCACATTGAGATCGCTTTCAGCGTTAGAGGGATTGCAGGGAAGGTAACAAGAGGGAATAGTATAGCAGGGAGGCAGGAGGAAAGGAAGAAAAGGAGGGAAGGGAGAGAAGGGAGGGAAGGGAGGGAAGGGAGGAAAGGGAGGAAAGGGAGAAAAGGGAGGAAAGGGAGAAAAGGGAGGAAAGGGAGAAAAAGGGAGGGAAGGGAGGAAAGGGAGAAAAGGGATGAAAGGGAGGTTGCCACGATCCCCTGCCATACACTTTGCCATCGCGGCCTATCTATGCCCAGATTGCTGGCACGTAGGTTGCTTGTGAGGCGCAAATAGTAGGATGTACTGTCAGGAAGGCACCCCACCTGCAACACAAGCACAGAAATCGATCAAGGGGATGTGGATGTGAGAGCTGTTGGAGACGAGAATGAAACTAGTGTGGGACTGGGTGGAGAGGTGGCTTTGATGTGTGAGGATTGGCGCAGGCGGTACAATGTGCGGAGTTGGAGTCACCCCCTGCAAGAGAATCACGGTTTGAGAAAGTATAGCCATGAAAACACGGTATCGAGAGGGAAGGGAGGGAAGGGAGGGAAACGAGGGAAGGGAGGGATGAGAGAGAAACGAGGGCAGGGAGGGAAGAGAGGGAAACGAGGGAAGGGAGGGAAGAGAGGGAAACGAGGGAAGGGAGGGAAGAGAGGGAAACGAGGGGCGGGAGAGAAGAGAGGGAAACGAGGGGCGGGAGAGAAGAGAGGGAAACGAGGGAAGGGAGATCGGGATGCGGAAAGGGGGGAACGGGATGGGGAAAGGGGGGAACGGGATGGGGAAAGGGGGGAACGGGATGGGGAAAGGGGAGAACGGGATGGGGAAAGGGGGGAACGGGATGGGGAAAGGGGGGAACGGGATGGGGAAAGGGGGGAACGGGATGGGGAAAGGGGGGAACGGGATGGGGAAAGGGGGGAACGGGATGGGGAAAGGGGAGAACGGGATGGGGAAAGGGGGAACGGGATGGGGAAAGGGGGAACGGGATGGGGAAAGGGGAGAACGGGATGGGGAAAGGGGGAACGGGATGGGGAAAGGGGGAGAACGGGATGGGGAAAGGGGGGAACGGGATGGGGAAAGGGGGGAACGGGATGGGGAAAGGGGGAACGGGATGGGGAAAGGGGGGAACGGGATGGGGAAAGGGGGAACGGGATGGGGAAAGGGGAGAACGGGATGGGGAAAGGGGTGAACGGGATGGGGAAAGGGGAGAACGGGATGGGGAAAGGGGAGAACGGGATGGGGAAAGGGGAGAACGGGATGGGGAAAGGGGAGAACGGGATGGGGAAAGGGGAGAACGGGATGGGGAAAGGGGAGAACGGGATGGGGAAAGGGGGAACGGGATGGGGAAAGGGGAGAGACGGGATGGGGAAAGGGGAGAACGGGATGGGGAAAGGGGAGAACGGGATGGGGAAAGGGGAGAACGGGATGGGGAAAGGGGAGAACGGGATGGGGAAAGGGGGAACGGGATGGGGAAAGGGGAGAACGGGATGGGGAAAGGGGGAGAACGGGATGGGGAAAGGGGAGAACGGGATGGGGAAAGGGGAGAACGGGATGGGGAAAGGGGAGAACGGGATGGGGAAAGGGGAGAACGGGATGGGGAAAGGGGGAGAACGGGATGGGGAAAGGGGAGAACGGGATGGGCCTGCATGTTGTGGCGCGGTGAGCGTGATCAAGGTGGCGTGAGGAGGCAACGTGAGGAGGCGAGGTGACGATGCCGCGTGCGGATTTGCGGCGAGGCGACGCCGTGACGGGCGTTGAGGCGAAGCTACGACGCGATGTCCGGCGAGGCAGCGGGTTCTGACTCGAGGGAGGCAATTTGCGGCGAGTGGATCATGCAAAGTCCCTCTAGGTACGCTTCAAGTTCAAGATAATTACGCTTGACTCCATCCCACTAGGTGCGCTTCAGGCCATCTTAGTCCGGATTTCCAAACGGCGATCGGCTGAGACAACGAGCCGGGCGGCCCTGCTTTCCACTACGTCGCATCAGCTACTGAACCACTCTAGGAGCAAGCCTCTGCTTCCAAACCACTCCCCGTCTTGGTCCGATCTGGTCTTGATCTGTTTCGAGCTCCGGACGTTTTCTGAGACCAGTTCTCGAGTGCCTACCGGCCTGGCGGGATCACACCTTATCACACCACACCCTATTCTAACCCATCCTACCCCATCCGATCCGATCCATCCTATCTTAATTTACTCAATTCGATCCAATCCAATCCCATCCGATCCCTTCCCATCCCATCCAGTCCCACCCCACCCCATTCCAACCCATCCCATCCCATCCCATCCCATCCCATCCCATCCCATCCCATCCCATCCCATCCCATTCCATCCCATCCCATCCCATCCCATCCCATCCCATCGCATCGCATTCAAGGAAACCACTACGCAAAGCGCGGCGAAGCGGCGAGGAGAGGCGAAGTGAGGGGCAGCGGAGGAAGGCGTGACAAGATTCCACATTATGCGGGCTCGTCGGTTCGCGCGCGTGATCGCAACCCTACGCGTGGCCAGGCCGACTGCCACACTAATCGTACGATTGACGCGATGGCAACGCCCGCGACTACTAAACGACTAGATGTGTATTCGTCGACTCTGGCGCCGGCGAGCCTAAGGGATCTGCTACGGTCGCGTCGCACTTCAATGCTATAGGCAGGTTTTTTTTTTAGTAGTGCAGGCTGAGAACGCTACGAGTGTGTGCTGGTGCGGGGGGAATTAAATCAGTATACTTTTGGCATCTATAAAGTTTTGGCACTCGACTGGGCTGACTTGGTGGGGAGGGAACCCCTTGTTTCTCGAGAGAGAAGTTGGGTGGCACGTAATTCGGTAACCACCATTACCTTTTATAAACCTTTGGCACTGGTCCTGCCAAATGTATACCGCCGCTTTAAACCGACACGATCGATGGTTTGTGCAACATTGCGATTGAATTTCGTGTCAGCAGGTTCCCTCTCTTTTCGCGTTAGTCTTCGACCGTCAGATCTACATCTTCTCGATCAACGACTCACATTCCAACTTCTACTTCATTTTTGGGCCAGTTCAACCGCGTCCGTCAGATCGAAATCGAACTTCATCGACGGCCTCAATTCCAACCTTTCTTCAAATTGGTTGAAGGCTATTTCAGCCGTCAGATACACTTGGGCTGAAGATAGACGACATCCTCGTCACTGTGGGGCCCATTTTCAATACACGGCTGCCTTATTTAGGAGGTGGGAGAGTGTAAGGATTTACAAATCCTTACTGAGGCACTCGTTAGCGAGGCCATCATCCCAAGGGCTTACAATTTCGCAAACAAGCACCACCGAGCCCGTCAACGGGAGTTGGATGTTGGCTCCGTCCTCGCTTGGGCGGAGCCGACCTCGTGGTCAGCTGTACGGTGGAGTGCAGCGGACCTGCAGCAGTGGTAGAGCTGGTCGACAAGGGTGGTCGACCTATGCAGGAGCCACTACACAGGCACCGACTTCTTGGCGCTGGGTTTCAGTTGGTCGACCAGGTGGTCGACGTGATCTGGTGGTCGACGAAGGGAGAGAGCCGACGTCGACCCCGACAGGGGTGTTTGGGGACGCCGAGCTGGTACGCGTCGAGTTGTAGGACGCCGAGAAACTGGGCGCCGACCTTGAGTGGTCAACAACTTGGCGAAGTCGGCGGCCCAACCCGAAGGTGGTCGACGAGGGGACGCCGACCGGGTGTGACGCCGACGTGGTGGTGTCAACCTGGTTGCCCGGTCGACCGAGATACATAGGCGACGAGCTTCTGCCGAGGCGTGCGAACGTCGCCGGGATGGTTCCTGTGAAGACGACCTCGGGGATGGTATCCCGAAGTCGACGTGGCTGGTGGGCATAGTCGCTGGCGTGGAGTCTGCTAGGCGTTTGCGTTGTGCTCCTGCGAAGCAAGTGCACCGTTGTCCTGCGAGTGCAACACTGTGCAGCCAACTTGCTGCAGCGTTGGCACACCGTAGACTTGCAACGTTGGTAAGCCGCTACGTTGCTGCGCTGAAGCGGTGCGAGCTCTGCTGCGCCGGACCGCGGTCCGACCATGCTTTGCTGGAGGTCGACCAGCAGCCCAGCTAGCTCTGACGTAGTCTGTATTTCCAATGTTGTTGCATCATTCTGGATCATTGTGTTCATGTTTTCCTAGTGGAACTCTTGCCAATTTTCCCCGTGAACTAGCAAGCAGTGTGAGCACTTGGAAACGACTAAGGAACGAACGAACGCTACGATCACTCTTGCCCCGTGCCTAGCCCGTAGTCTAGCTCCCGTTGTAGTAGTTATCTCCGCATGGTGCGGTGAGCGTGGATGGCATACGACTCACCTTCCAATCTAGTCGGCGCAGTGGTCACTTACCTATTGTGTTCATAAGCCGGCAGCTGTACAAGCGTCACTATGGTTGGCGTAGGTGACACGGGTGTGGTAGACACCCTGGAGGCACGGTTGGAGAGCGCGAGGAGACGCCATGAGGCGAAGGAGTTCGGCGACCTATCGTGGGCGGTCGTCGAGGCTGGCATCCGCGCCGTGTGGGCGACGGAGCACCCTTCTCGGCCTGCGTCTCCTCGACCGGTGGACATCGAGGGTGGCGTCGACGTGGGCGTCCACACCGGGGGTGACCAGGTCGGCAGCAGTGCGGGAGGCACATCGAGGCCGAGAGGAGTGATACACGTCGGTGAAGTCGGCGGCATTCAGGCGCAAGGAATGCAGTCGTCGGCGGCTGCAGGGGCCTCGCAGGGCGACGTCGGAGGCCGACGAAGCGGATTGGCGCCGACGTCGGTGACTCACGTGACGGCAAGAGGGATTGCGCCGAGCTACGGCTACTTCAAGTTTACACCGGATAGGATCTCGGTCACCCCCCTGCTAGTCAGTCGCCCCGACATTCTCACCTGGAAGGAAGCCATCGAGCCCCAGCTAGAGATGGCCGGGCTGATGGGCTTCGCCGCCGGCACCGTGGCGACGCCGTCGGAGAACTACCCCGACCTGCGTGCGGAGTTTCGCGTTGTGCAACTGTTGACCTTTATGGTAATCTCGCGATGCTGCTCACCGGGCGTGCAGATAGCCTTCAAGCCATGCAGAAGCTACCTGGACGCCGACCACCGGGCGTGGCACTTTATCGACTCGACGTACTGATGGATATCAACAGATTCGACGCGAAGCAGCAGCCGACAAAATGCGAGTTTTGCGGCACAGTCGAACATCAAATCCTATCGTGTTACAAAATGAAAAGGGCACGTGCGGCACTACTGGGTGGCAACAGTACAGCACCCCCGAAGTAAAAAATGGGAATCACCTGTAGTCGCGGATCGACCTGGCGATCGCGTAAAGATCCGAAAAGGGAAAAGGGGCGACGATGTGGCGACTTCGGAGCAGGCGAAAAAAGGAGAAAATGATGGCGCGAATATAAAACGTCACGACCGGCCGGCAACAAGGGAAATCGCCAAGGCAAATGTAGGCTCCGCAAAAAAAGACTCTGCACCGACTGGGAAACTCCAGCCGAACACCCACGAAAGTAAGAATTCGTTAAAAGTATCCTATAAAGATACTCTAACGAAAAATATTGCTTCTCGTGGTTTTCAAGCCTTTAAAAAAATCAAGGGAGAAATAGAGGCCAAGAAAAAGCCTTTAGAAATTATTCAGGTACCTGAGAAGTTGGGCAAAGTACTACGGAGCGTAGAAAAGGGTCGTGCGTTCCGTGGAGTTAATATCCTCTCCCCGCAGCACCGTGTTAAGGCTCCCCATTGCCCACAGGTGAAGCCTACACAGCTGCAAAGGCTTAGGGGAAAATTCCAGGCTTAGGAGAAATTGTACAAGCCTCGGAAAAATCCTCCTACCCCCCAGGTGAAGTTGGAAAGTGCTGAGTCAGGTATAGGAAATAGGGAAGGGGATTTCTTTAATGTACCCTATGATCCTATTAACGAGACTATCTTTGGCTACTCAACGTAGCAGAAACCACTACTCCTCGAGGTGTTATGCAAAGGACGACGTCTCCAAGGACTGGTTGACAGCGGTGCATCTCACTCGGTGTGCGACCGCGGAACATTGGAGAAAAATAGAGAAAATGCGGAGGAGACCCAATTCTCAGCAACGATGGTGGACGGTACGAAGCTTCCCATCCACGGCGAAATATCACTACAGCTGCATATTCGTCACAAGCTTCGTTATTCGTTTTCCGTGCAACTCTGTTTGACAACTCATAATAATTAGGGCATTGCTTTGATCACTCACTTCTTTCTATTCAGTCAACCCTGATTTGTGCGACTGAATTCTGGCAATGTCGTCAATGGATCCTCAGAGAACCTAAGCAATGCCAGGCTAAACTCTGTTTGTTTCAAGATCTGAATACACATTCAAGGTCTACTCGTCAAGGGCTTGATTTCAACACCACTTTGTGTTCACACAACGAACATTGGTTAGTCGTAACAACTCCTATGAGAGATCTGTTTTTCAGGTTAAAACTGATTATAAGCTCAAGACATTCGGTTACTCCAGGGAAGTTATAATGGCCAGGCTCATGACAAACCGTCACCGAAGAATGCACGGGGAGAACAAAGCAGATTCAACGCGAAAGGGAAAGTGGAAGTACAAGGCAGTTGGACAACTAAATGTTTTTCGGCTATCAGCTTTTGCTGCCATCAATCGACAACTGACGAGAAAGGAAACTCCTAAGATTCATACATTTTACATGGCTCCTGGTTTATATGAATCGGCAAAGTATGGACCACAGCCTACTTTCAAGAGAACAACATGTGTGACATCAGATCTGCGAGAAGAAGCCATTTCTTTAAACATGGTTGAAAACGAATACCACTTTCCTGCTGGAATTTTTTGAGGCAGTTGTTGTTTTCCTAAGTTTCAGGAAGAAGTTGGTGCTTACGCTGACACAAATGAAGCCTACGCTGGCGACACTACGAGGCTACAAGACGCATATCCGCAAGTGGAAGATACTGATTCATGGCAGTGTGCGCATAAACTCCCCTCGCAAAGATTTGACTAACAATTTTCA